TTTCATCTTCTTTAGCTCTCTGCTCAAATATCCTATTATCACTTGGCCTTCCCTGACCACCCTCTCTAAAATATTGCCAGCACCCTCACTCCTAGCCCTTTCTCTATCCCTCTTCCCCGCTTAATTTTTCTCCCTAGCACTCAGCATCATTTTACTTACTTCTCATGTACTTTATTTGTTTATGGAGCCCTGGTTAAGCGTCTGGCTGCTACCCAAAAGGCTGGCACTTTAAATCCACCAGCCGCTCCTTGGAAACCCTATAGGGCAGTTCTACTCTGTCCTATAGGGTCGCTATGAGTTAGAATCGACTCAGCAGCAATGCCTTTGATTTGGTTTTGGTTTACTTGTTTACTGGGTATCTCTTCCCACTTGGATAAAGCTACACAAAAGCAGGAATTTTGTTTATCACATACACTACAGTTTCCTAGTACCCTAGAATAGTGCTTGCCATATTATAGGCATTCACACATTGTTGAATGAATAAGAAACTCAAATGTCCAATAAACAAAAGGAAAAAAATTCAACCTCACTAGTAAGCAACAAAATAAAATTAAACAATTACACAAAAAACAAAAAATTAAACTTTTTCACATCCATCAAAAATTATCAACTTTTGGCAAGGATTTAGAAAACAAAACAAACTCGCCGTGCTGGAGGCAGTATACATATACATTCACACAAGGACTTTGGCAAGCCATTAGGCAGGATCTAGAGCAACTGCAAATGGACAATCTTAAAATCCAGCAACTTTTCTTTTAGTGTGTACAGAAAAACATATTCAAGGGTGCTCAAGGTAGCAAGGTGTGTAGAAGTGAAAACAATCTACATGTCCATCGGTAGCGGAACAGAATAAGACAAATCTCAATGCTTCAACATGAATAGATCTGGAAAGCAAAATGTACATTGAAAAAAGGAAAACTGCCGAATGTTAAGTGCTGTATTATATCATTTATATAAAAGAAAAGTAAAACCAGGTACACAAAATAAAACTATATATTATTTATAATTATACATATGTGGTGTAAGAAAAAAACACATGGACTGGATATACATCAAATTCATGACAGTGGTTGCCTCTAGAGAAGAAGGAATGAAAATAAAATTGGGAAATAGGGCATGGGGACTTCAAATTTATCTGTGATGGTTCTCATTTCTTAAAAACATGGTAGACAATGTTATTATTCAGTTTGAGTGGAGGATATGTGAGTATTTATTATATTATCCTTTGTACTTTTCTGTGTTAAAATTCTTCAATAAATAATACATAAGACTAATTTTATTATAATTCTTTAGAAATTATAATACATAAATACAAATCTAAACAAACAGGGACATTGAAAAGAATTTTTGCACTATTCTATACCCCCCAACTACAGATATATTCAGTCATTTTACATTACATAATCTGAGACCACTTATAAATTATTATGCTGAGCTACAAAAGCAGGTTTCTGTTTAGTACTAACGAGGAAAAATGAACAGAAAAAAATTATATGAAATGTAATGGTTATAATTAATAGTAAACTTTTATCACTCAAAATATAACATATACGTTGAATTACAATTTATAAAAGACATAAAGGTTCAAGCCCCTTTTCCCATAATATTCAGGAAAAATGAGCCAATAAGCCCTGCTAGCTGAACAATCTCCCAAATTTCTATTTTTTAACAGATTTACTACTGATGATACATTCTAGAAATTTAAGGACAAATCAGCCAAAAGGGAGCAAAGCTATTGTGGGGTTTAGGATAAAAATTAACTTTTTCCTCCTTTTAAAAATTTATTAGTTGAAAATTTAATGGTTAGCAAAAGTTTTATCAAAATTATAACACAAAATTTTTAGAAATTATAACAAAAACAGAAAATTTCTGGTATAAATAATGGAATATTTTCTTAATACTATGAAATTAAAACTTACCTTAATGTGCTGTTAATTGCTCCCAGTTTATTAGCTTGCTCACAATCTTCTAATTCTTTGGTATCATTTGCCATTTTCAAGTACTGCAAAGAAGTTCATAAGTAAGTTTAAAATAATAATTATCTTTATTTCAGGTTCCGCTGGCAGAATAATCAACCTGTCAGTGATCATATATACTAAATGTAGACACATCCTATTACTAAAATCCCTTATATATGTAAGAAATGCAAACTAAAATGAGGCACAAAATTTCCATCTATTAAATAAGCAAAGACATTAAAAAATAACAATTAGTATTGATGTGTTGGTGATACTGTAAATTGAGAAAACCCTCTTGGGAAAGTAATTTGACAATATATATCTAGGGTTATAAAAATGCATAAACCCTTGAACCAGCAATCCCACTACTGAGACCACATCCCAAGGCAACAATTAAAAAATAAAAAGAGGTACAACCACTTTAGTAAGTCATCTGGTATTGTCTCATAATGCTGACATAGTCATACCTACCCTATGACCCAGCAATTCTATTTCTAGATATAGATCTAGAGAAACTCTTGCATGTGTGCACAAGGACACAAAGGACAAAGATGCTAGTGCAGCATTGTTTGTAATAGCAAATACTGGAAACAAGTGTTCATCAATAGAGGAATGGCTAACTTGTGATATGGTCATACAATTGAATACTACATAGCTGTTAAGATACATGAACAAGATCTATATGTGTCAACAGAAAGAAAAATCTCAAAAGTATAATGCAATATAAAAATACAATATCATTTTTAAAATGTTACACAAAATAATCTATATATTACTGTGGATACCATGTGCAATAAAAGTATAAAACCATAGAAGGATCAACATCAACTTAAAAAAAGTCGTCGGCTCTGGGGAGGAAGGAAGTAGAATGCAATTGGGAAGAAGTTCAGGGAGGGTTTCACTGTCTTTATACTGTTGTATTTATTTATTGTAGATCTGAAACAAAAATAAAAGAGTACAAACAAAAGGCCACATGGGGAGAGAGAAAGAAGAAAATGGAGAGAGGATGCACAAGAAGGAGGTAGAGAGAGACAGTACAATGATCTTTATATATACAATAGTGAAAAACTAGAAGTATACTGTCATCTAAAAATACATAGAGTAAATCATGATATGTTCATAAGAGGAAAGGGTAATCTTGAATAAAGGAATATTTTTAATATCATTTGAAAGTACTCTGCTCAAAATATCTTTATAATTAGTACTATCTAAAAAATATAATCCTGAAAATAATAGGTTGACTAGTTGAAACAGAAGACTAAAAATACCTGGGTGATAAAACACCTGTTGATCTGACACTATAATTACACTTTATAGCTCCTCTAGAGGTTCCAAAAACAGAACTGAAGTAAATTTAAAAGAAGCTATATAATTTAATTGTAAAGGAGCAAAAATGTACAACCTCTCTGCTTACTGCAAGAAATTAAGGATTTGGGATTCTGAGACAAAATGTCTCTATTCCCAACTAACCATATTATGGTTCTCTACCACAACCATTGTGGAGCAATAAATGGTAAGCTTCGCTATATAAAGCAGAAATATTCAAGGAAGAAAAGTGACTCACCTTATTAGAACTCCCAGCTTTAATTCCAACTGGAATTTTACTCTTAAAAGAAAGACAACACAAAAGTTTAAAAAGTGTTCTTTACGTTTTTTTCTTTTCTTTTTTTTTAACATGATTTCAATCTTTTATTCAATAAATATTTATTAAGTGTTTAGTTTACTCTTTGGAAGGCTCTGTCCTACATGCTGGGGAAATTTTTCCTCTTGTTAAGCTTTTGTTATCGATCTCAACATAAAAGAATGAAAGATAAATGGGAATGACCAAAAGGTGAGATGAGATCCAAGCCAGCTTCCCCCCAGAGCCAGGTAAAAAGCCTCCCTCGTCAAGGCAGGGAGGTGCTCAGTGGACTGATCACACCGTGAGCCAAACCAAAACAAAACCAAAGCCAAACCACTCTGACTCGTGGTAACCCCATGTGAGTCAGAGTAGAAATGTGCTCCATAGGGTTTTCAATGGCTGATTTTTCATAAGTAGATCTCCAGGCCTTTCTTCCTATCTGCTTCTGGGTGGACTCGGACCACCAACCTCTTGGTTAGCAGCGACCATGTTACCCGTTTGCACCCACAGGGACTCCTGTCAACCAGCAGCTCTGCCTAAGATGTATGGACCTGCAGAAGGACCCCTTCTGCACCAAATCATTGCCAGGATGCAGTTCTTCCCTCTGAGTGAGGGAATTATCTGAGAAGTGCAATAAAGCAAAGTGCAATAACAACAAGGTATGCTTTTACATATTTTTGCAAATTTATTCTTGAAGGAAAATAAAGACAAGAGTAATTTTTCTTTTTTTACATTTTCCCTTTAGGAAGGGTATCGATCCAGCTGGTCTTTTCCTATTTTTAAGGACAATCACACTAGGAGTAACTGATAAGGTTTAAGAGGCAAAAAGTGAAATGAAACCATAGCTTACAACTAATTACTGCTGAAGGAGAAAAGTATAGTTAAGCCAGATGTAAAAAGTCTAAAATGCAGCATTCCTTGGCAATAAGTATAGCCTTTTTTTCTTTTATTTAACAAGATCAAGTGAAGACCTAATTCCAAGCCTGAAATACATTTGAACTTCAGAGTTCAGTGTCATTTTCTTTGCCTATGAAAATGTTACAGATTCAATAAAGCATTAAATAAGTGTTAGCCAATTGTACATCCAGTCCTGGAATAGGCCTCTGATTTTCCATCAGACTACACTTCTACATCAATCACCAATATACTGGATATAAGAGTGTCTTCAAACCCACTTTGGTGGCAAGAATAGAATAAATCCTCAATAATCTGGTTAAAAAGGGGAACTGAGAGCATATGAATTTGTTGACAAGCCTAAAATCTATCAACATTAGCCAAAAACATAGAGTTCATGCTTATCTAAAAGTCCAAGAGAAAGCAATTTTCACATAAAACTGAACATTTTCCCTATTTATCTTATTTTTATTTATTTTACCTCCGGACAGGGTTCCACATGACAGTCTTTTATTGAACAATGGCCATCTTCAGCCCAGAAAGGACACGGTCGCTTTAGGTTAACCTTAAGAGAGAGAATGAAAGAATTAATGTTAGTAAACATGTATTATAATTATGGAATGCTCTCTAAAGTGCCACTGTGCTAGGCACTAGTAATTTGGTGGTGAATAAGAAGGAAAAGTTTCCTGTCCTTGTC